GCCATCCTTTGCTCTCACCTTTTTTTGGTCCCATAGTTGGCAAAAACTGGTTCGTGAAGTTTTATAAAAATAACTGCGAGTGGAACACAAATGGTTTAACCTCGAGCTAACTGCTTAAAGCTTACTGAGACGGTAAACACCTGTTGTGATGTTCACTCTTGCGTTCGTGGCGCCATCTAGCGGTGGGGCGTGTGAAGTTCGTTCGTAACCCAAATTTTAGCTCTTAACTCAAAGCAAAAATATATCTGAGAGACTGCTTGCATCTCAAAAAACTCGTTAGTTAGGACACTCTTAAGTCAAGGTACCACTGTACTAAAATAAAACTTGTTTGGTATGAGTCGGTATACCACCCAGCTCTATGTTTAAGTTAGCTTGAGGTTTGAGCAACCATTTCAACTTGTTTACAAGTTCAAGTGTTGTTCAAAAGTATCTTCCAGGTTTATAAACCTGACTTCTGTGAAACAGGCCTCTGAACTCATACTTGCTTGTTAAACAGCAGGGCTGGCCAGCAGGAACACAGCAGATCCTCATCCCGTCCACATGGCAGCAGATGCCGGGCGTGTCCCTCCACAATCCCAGCCAGGCCGTGGTACCGGAGTCACCCATGGGTGCTCCGGTGCCGGACCCTCAACAAGCTCCAGGGTGGAGGTGGGTTCAGTCAGACAGGACGGTTCAGGATGTCCTGCAGAGGGTTCTGATTACTCCTCTACTCGTACCTCATCTTTCTCAGAGGTCGCCATGGCAACCAGTTTGATGGGATCAACCAGCAGGACTCCGGTGTGAGCCGTCACGCCGCCGCCCACAATCACGGCTCAGGAGCGCCTCAAACACGATCGCAGCAGGGCAAGAGGTCAAAGGTTCAACAGGGTGACGGCAGAGCCAGGTATCWGTTGTCCTGTTCTGGATCAGAACTGGGTCTGGGTCTGTTTTTCTGGACTAAAATGTTTGGAGACATAAAAGTGTGGTTTTCTCCTGCCCTCCCAGGCCTGCAGCATCAGTGGCGTCAGCCACCACTGTGGTCCACAGCACCTCTTCACTTGGTGACCAGTCTCAGCCAATCATCATCTCTGACACGCCCAGTCCCGCCGTCAGCATCATCACCATCCACAGTGACTCAGAGGATGAGGACCAGGCCCAGGTGTCGGCTGCCAGGTCAGACCAGACTTTACTTTTCTTATTCATTATAACAAAACTAAAATAACTGTTAGTTTTGGATTTCCTTGTGTGACTGTCTGCTGCATCTTTGGACTAACAGTGAGKTAACTTTAGGCCCAGCTCAGAGTTTTTGGTGTAAAACAGTATTACCTAGGGATGCACCATAACTTATTTTAAGAGCGTTCCCAGAGTGCTGTATCAAGGCACCTCAGTGGGAAGTCTGTGGGAAGGAAAAAGTGTGGCAGAAAACGCTGCACAACAAGAATTGTTGTCAGTCAGTGATGGTCTGGGGTGCCATGTCAGCTGCTGGTGTCGGTCCACTGTGTTTTATCAAGGCCAGGGTCAATGCAGCTATCAGGAGATTTTGGAGCACTTCATGTAAATATAAATATATTCTTTCTGTTGTGTTTTGGACCAAAATCATATTTTAACAGTTTTTTTGCCTGAACTTTACATTATTACATGTTGTAACAGCTAAATGTGAGTTTGCATGTATATGATAAAACTTTACTTTTTACAAAGTCATTTATTTAGACCATTCAGAAATGTTTTCAGGAATGATAGCTTGTCAAATTAAGCTAAAGCTAGCTGTCACGTGTCTCGTCTTTAAAAAAACAAAACAAAAAGAAAACAACTTTCTCTCTTCCTGGCCACACCTCCTCRCTCACACCCACACACTTTAGGCCGTGCCCCTCAGTCTCCTGGCACTGCCCACTTTGTTGGCATTTTTCAAATTTGCCTTGGGGCAGAGTTATCCTTTCACAGGGGGGTAAGTTCCACCTTAAAGTAGCTGTGTTTCCATTGCAAATGTGCGCAAAACTTTGTCAATATTCTGTTAATGTAGAAAAAACACAGTTTCGCAACTGCGGTGTTTCCATTAAGTAAGAAATGCTATTAAAGTCACGCGTGAATACGTTTGTTCTCGCGATAAGTCATTGTAGGGGTCACCACGAGTGAAGAAACAAGATTTATTGCCTCGAAGCAGGCCTCAGACAGGCCTGACAAGAGGACAGGAACTCTATCACAAACTGACCTCTATTTAGGCCATGACAGGTCATTCCAACCGTGGAAGAGAACCACTCAGTTCTTTAATCAGATAATGATTGAAAACCCACGTCCGAATTTCAATTCACATCAACTCAGATTAATTATATGGAACGTCAGTTCTGATGTTAACCAAACAATTTTACTGGCACTTTTAGCTTAAGTTTTGTCAAATTAAGAACAAGGAAAGGAGGAAAGTAAGTAGTATGTTACTACGACTTTTACTTTTATCAAAGTGGGGGTCAACCGGAACTGCACGTCTTTTCTAAGCTCAGGGTCCACATGACACGTCACTCCGAACACGTCAGTTTTACCTGGTGATGACTTCTTAAGGCACCCTCGGGGTAGGAGCTGGCTCGCCTCCAATCAGTCAGGGAACTGATGTCGGCTCACTTACCGGTCATTGGCGAACAGGTGTTTTTTCAGGAAACTTTCGTCTGTTTCAATCCAAGCCAGAAAAATTCAAGCCGTATCCGGTTCCTCTTTCCAAAATAAAATCTCCCCTCGGGAGTTAAAAACACACTCAGAGGCTTGGCCTCGGGTTGAGACCACCGGCAGGCATGCCGGGTCCCTGGCTGTGAAGTCTTCCCTAATTAGCTTGTAAGGAAATACGAGTTCAATAACGGTTGAAATCAGGTGAAAACACAAGTGTTAAATAAAATGATCTGTAATAGAAATAATTGCCATACAACACCAGAATTCTGGAGTGAGGG